CTCGAGGAGTTCTTTGGTAAGTTCAATTCTGTCGGATAGATTTTGTATACGGAGGAATTCCACAAGCAATACATTGAACAATCCTTCTTGCTCTTCTCTTGGTAGGAGTAACCCATGATCTACCCTATCCGTTGAGTTCCTAAAATTAGAACTACCACAGAGAATACAGTAGGATATCGCTGTATCAAAATCACACAAACTGTGCGTGAGTAGACGAATGGCCTCTTTGTGCTCACCTTGGCGTCTGTGGAGAATTATTGTTTCCGGAATGAGTTGTAACTTGAATGGTTCTATACGTTGTGATACTATATCGACATCATAGGAGAATGCTGCATCTTGGTCGCCATCCAGCAGTTGAAGTAGCCGGCTACGGCAAATCTGCCATTCATCTGAAGAGGTCATACTGTTGGCTATAAATTGGTAGTAAGCTGGTTTCGGCCGACGCAGTGCTTTGTACGCCCTATCCGTTGATGCTAGGATTGCTCGACTGCGTTCGGACGCCCGGAGTTCGGCGAGCACAATGTCAAGGTAACATGCTATAAGCTCATTGATATGTTGCAATTGTTTCTTTTTAAATACCAGCGTCTCTAGATATTCTTTGACGGCGCCTGGTGCTCTTTCGCGTAATACTTTCAACACATCAGCAGATGCCCATTTTATACGACTGTTGTCAACGAAGACTTGGACACCCAGAACTGGATTACGTTTAGCGAGCCACATCCCATACTCTGTTACTAATTGCTGATTCTGTAGTTTAGAGAGATAAAGGCGGACTTCCTGTTCGCCGTCCGTGAATTCCCCACCAGAGTCTTCTTCGCCATTGATGATGTTTCGCCATGTCTCTAGAACTTTTTCATGTTGATTTCGAGACTGGTATAATCGGGAAAGGATATACAATCTTTTAAATTGCTTCAACAACAAGACAGCTCCCTCGAAGTCTTCCACGCCGGCGTCAACTACAGAATTGAGCTCGGCTCGTAGTGAATCGGCTTTAGCTGGACCACGAGGCGTGTCACTGTCGAGAAGGAGCAGGATGTGCAAGAGTGCAAAGTCAACAATTGGGAAGATGTGAGAACTCTCTATGACGCTCGGATTCCCTTTTTTACCGCGCCAGAAGAGGAGAACGCGACGAACGAGGTCGAGAATAACTTTGCAATAACGGCCAGCTGGGTCGGTAGGCATATTTGAAAGGCTATTCTGAGCGTAGAATTGGTCTATTAGTTCTTTCAATCCAGCGTGTATCCAAATAACATGCCCACTTGACAGAACTTCATCCCGTACTGGTAGAAATGAGATCACAATTCTTGGATCGACTTCACTTTCCACTAATGCCTCTTCTACGGTAAATTCATCATGCTTGGTCACAAGAGTTCCAGATGCTGTGCGCACAACTAAATCCGTAAATAAGAGCAGAGAAGCTCTTTGCCGGATATATTTTAAGGTAAGGAATTCGAGTTCGGTCTGTGGTGGAAGACCACGGATGTCGTTGATAAAGGTTTGAATTGCACTGGTTGAAGTCAAATGAGCTAGGTGAAGGCTTGCATCCAAGCGAAGAAGCAGTGGGTTCCGGAGAACCCAGAATACTTCATCACCGATCCAAAGGGTGATCTGAGCATCTATCTCGCATAGGCGACTAACAAATTCCATTTCCTCTTTCTCCCGTTTTGCTTGGACCACATCGTGAGATTCATTTCCCGGTCCCAGAAGTTGGAGAGGCATCATTTTCAATATATCTGTAATCTCGGGTAAGCTGACTTTGACTGGCATCCCTATCTGCCGGATACCTAGAGCATCCTCGACACCGTGGGTGTGTCGTGAAATGCTCAGCCACTCTTTCCCGGCAGTTTCGTCACTGGACCAAACGTCCCAACGCTGGATTTCGACGTCTGGGGTCAGTATGCCATCTACCTGCCGGCGTACAACAGCAAGAATATAACCTGCTTCTGGAACTTCACTAGCGTTTTGCAAAGAAGTCATATAATGCCCTTGCCGTCAACCACAAGCGAGTTTGGGTAGCTTGTAAATTTCATCGTTCCTCGCGGAGCCTCACCGTCCAGATTCACCAACACTCCAACCCCAGGTTCAAGAGAAGTGGTACCCGTGACGATCAAGAAAGTACCCGGGTTTGGCGTTGCTATGAGAGGCTTCAGCAAGATTTCATTGGATTGAATCCTAGGTCCCGCATTTTCTGTGAGGTGATTGTCTAAAGCAGAAATATCAAGGAGTGGTATCTTTTGTTGACTTGCAACGTCTAAGAGGGCATATGCTCTTGCATCCGCCACGCAGGCGAAGTCCCCTCGACACATAGCTGCTAAACAACCTCGAAACTCAATGTCACGAATTCGTAATGGCTGTTCAGCCACCTTGACTAATCGTATTCTATTTCGCAGGCACACCATAATGATAGCATCATCCTGCCTCTCCTCTCCATCTACATTTAGATCTACCCCGCATAGCCAACTACATGTTAAAGGATCAAGCCGAGGAAATGCAGGGCTGAGCTCAGGTATGGTATAGAAGTTAAGAGTATTGTTGCTTAGGATGCATATTTTGCCAGCCCTGGGTAGGAGTAGGATGTGTTGTATTCCCGCTCCTTGTTGCTGGTTCACTGGAGGTTGGAGACGGGAAGCAAGTATGAAAATTGGCTGACTATCTGGGCCGCTTGGGTGTGCTGGCAGCTGCGCATAATGGAGGATTTCACCCGCTGATGTTCCGATATAGAGATTACCGTCTAACAAATTTGAGTCAGAAAGTCGTAGAATAAATATGATTATAGCTGCTCAAAGCAGTGAGAAGCAAGAACCATGACTCGAGATACGATCAGCAATTTATTGAAAGATAATAAATGAACCTCCTTACTCCACGCTTCAACGCAGGTGATCTTGAGGCTCTGATCATCACCTACAGTGCTTAAAGCTACGTCCTTGATGAGACTGCGAAGTATGTATGAGCCAGTCTCGGATCGGGGCCCTTGGTTGTTCATCGTGTTGTGCTTTCAATGTTTAAACATAATTCCAAGCCGTCAAAGCCTAAATGAAAGGTTCGGAAATATTACGGTGTTTTAGCAGCGCGATTCAGCAACCTACTAGGAAGCAGCGACTAGAAATGCGGGCCGATTAACCGAGCCGACGATTAGTGAAAAGCTAATAAAGTCTATATTCGACGTGGCTATAGAAAGAGAATCCTAGTATTTTGGGCCTCTTAACTTGTTGGCCATGCCCAAGAGCTCCCTCCTTTTATGCCCTTTTGAAATTTTCTTTGAAACCCATTCTTGGACTTCAGGGTATGGGAAGACAGTAGTTGATTTGTAAAGTGTGGTCTTAACGCTTCAGCTATTGAAGAAAGCTGCAGAAGAGGAGATAATAAATTGAGCCCTACGTTCGCACAGTTTTGCCCAGGAATTTGGCCAAAGCAAATCTCTAGAGATTTTGCAGGCAATGATTGAAATGCACGGCAGAAGGCCATTTCGAGTATGTTAGATACAGCTTGGTACCATGCTGATGAAGTGGAATTTTCGGAGGATGCTGGAATTTCCCAAAGCTTTAAAAAAGTTGCAGTTCTGTGACCATTACCCCTAGAGCAAATAAAATAATGTAGACTTTCCGAAGAACCATGTAGAATAGAAGACAAACGTTCAGAGATATGTCTTCTTGCGTTCACAGTTTGTCCTACGTAGAAACGTAGGTAATTTTCATTTCGAATATCCTTGATGAAGTTGAGGTAGCCAACACAATCAGACTGGCGTTGGCTGTCTTGTTGTTGAGAGTTGAGAATCGCCTCAAGACTAATAGCAAATCAGTTAAAATGAATAGTTTGCATGATCCTTTAATAGCTTACCTTTGGGCTGTGATGACTTTGTTGTTCAAAGAAACGATTCGATGATCAATGAAACTGAACGTAGTTGCTACAATGCTATCCGCTCCATTCTGCTGAATCCAAGTCTTGTATAAAGGGAGTGCCATACTCTCGGTTTCTTCATTCTCTTCCTCCATCAATCTCGTCACCAAAACCATGAGTATGTCTTACATATCGGGAAAAATTATCTTTGGCATTATATGAACCTAGAGTTTGACATTGTTAGTATTTTCTTTTACTAAAACTCTTTGAAACACTAAGAAATCGAGACACTGACATCTTTATTTTCATCAGTAGCCGGTCCCGTGCCCGGACAAACCACGGTAATGTTCATCGACTTCTTCCTCCCGGAAGTTGGAGGTTGGAGCCGCGCATCAGGCTGTGATAAGGAGGATGCATTGGTCTGAAGATCATAGTGAGGCTCTTTTCCAAAGACGCGTACCTTTTCCAGAGAACTGGCTTTAGATTTCTCCAGCGGTCGTGGAGACTCTGCACCAAACGGTCGTGTCGCTGGTCGAGAAGGACATGCTACTGATTTGTGTCCTTTGCAGTAACGACATGTACCGCACGTAGAGCCACTACCACGACAGGTTTCGGTGGTCACGCCTATTGCCCCACAAGAATGGCATGTCTTTATACTGGAATATAACATGGGCATAGAATCAAATGATAGTAAAGAAGAAAATGCGTAAGCGGTTGAAGAGTTGTTCACTTTTCGTGTTGCTTATAGTACTGTGTTGAAAGGTTAGTTTACAACTGAATCAAAAAAAGTGAATCAAAAACAACAAAGCGAGAGCATGAAACAGAGTCAAAGTATATCAAAGCAAACATTGTGGATAGTTACCCTTCCTAAAGAGGATTCTTACGTAATTCAAGTAATGCGATTGATTGGTTAATACAAGCATCAACTCTAATCCTATTGGACCGCCCGCCAGGGCCGCTTGCAGCGTCCTTGTGTAACAAGGCGCAAGTGCAGCTTCTTATTATTCATGTTCTCCTCTACAAATGCTCCATATTATTATGTATTGCTCATCATTTACCAGTTGTTTCTTAACATTTTTTTTACCTTCCGTGTGGTACAGAGAACTCTAGGAAATTGGACCGGTTGTACGTCTCGCGAAATTATAACTCCAAGAAATACGGAAGTCGCGATGGCGGAGTGGTTAACGCGTTAGACTTGAATATAGATACATATTATATGTATCTACGGTAGAGATCTAATCACTTCGGTGGCGTAGGTTCGAATCCTGCTCGCGACGGAAACTGTTTGAATACTTTTTTATTAAAAACAATTTTTATCACGAAGGATCGAATTACTCCACCAAGGTGATTGGACTCCAAGTCCAACGGGTACCACGACTGTATGGAGAAGCGATCGCTACTGATAAGCGGATGCCATACTTTTTTTTCGTACGCGATTCGCATACCAAAAAAACGATGTCACAACAACTATAGTATAAAATATTCCCCTTCCTCCGAAAAGTCAGATTCCGATGATCTTAGTATTGAATTGATTGAATAGTTCGAATCGCTTGATTCTGAGCCACCTGATTATATAGCTAATATCTCCACCGTGTCACGACCTTACGTTGTGGCCTTAAGCGTTAATGCCAGAAACCTACTCTCCATGGAGTGGCTGTCGCTAATGGGCCATGATGGTCGGCACCGGGGATCACATTTCCACCGACGCCTGGAGCTAACACACCACGACCATATACTAACCCAAATCTAACTGAGGGCAATGTAATATATTACCCAGTGATCACAAAGATAGGCAAGATCGAATTGATGCCTGTGACAAGTCACAAGTACAGTATTGCGACGGAGTTAGTGGCGGAGCTCGGCGACTAACATTTCCGTGGCCGGGACTTTTGCATTACTGTTATCCTTTTTTGGGGTTAATAAAACAGTAGTGTAAGGATGAAGATTACATGGTTAGAGCTGGCGTGGAGAGGTTGTGCTTAAGAGATATCATGTTTCAGTTATGGTATTGTTGCCGCTCACGGTCTTTACATGTAAAATAACTTAAGGTGAAATAATAAACTTTAGTAATTACCCAGTGTTTGACGAATTCTCCTTAATAACAATGAGTTCATTGAACTAGCTATTTGTTACATTTCCAATCTCTCACATACACGTTCGTGAGCAAGGCAAAAGGGTAAAGTAATGGGGCGGAACGCCAGCTTGGATCAGGGAATAATTCCACAAATCTGGATAAATGGAACTTTTGTAGCTCGTGCCCTTTAGATTTTTATTAGTGTTGAATTGATTATGCCACCCTTGTTCCCCTAAAATCATGCCAAATCTGATAGGACCTTGTCATCAAGACACATCCCCGTTGCTCAATCCCCCGTGCCATGAGCATTTTCTCCACAAAACATTACAGGAATATGATCTTCAGGATAACTGCTCTTGTTCCACGAATTCCACTTTGAAGTTCTACGATTGACATATTTCGATGGGTGATATTACCCAAGCGGATTTGACTATAATCGGCAAGCACGGCTTTCAATAACGAGCCTTGCCAGGTTCCAAGATTTACTTGATACAGGATTCGAAAATTGTTACCGATCTGTTGTAGGCGTATTAGATATAGAACGTGTCGTCTGACAATCATACTCGTTTGAATCATGGTAAAATAAGAAGTAAGATGGAAACTATTAGGAATAAACGGCGGCCTAGCAACTGATAAAAAGTACACGTAACTTATCATTACCACTCTCCTCCTTGGATCGCCTTGCATACTCGTCAAAAAATTCCACCAAGAAGATATTTGCAGAATCAATGCAGAAGTTTGCTTTGCTGCATAACATTACAAAGAGTTTGTATAATATTTACGTGGGAAAATTCTTGCCGTACTAGGGTCATAGCCCACGGTAACGGAGACGGATTTAGGAGGTCGAAGTTCTGCCCCTCCGACAAAACACAATACAAGTGATACGCACTCACTGTTACAACACATCAGGTACTCCATTCCCGTATTAGTTCTAGGGCTTACAGAGTATGTAACATTCCCCCAAATTGTAGCAAGTCCTAACTCTACCATTTTGCCTATAAATACCATATAATCTACCCAAAAAAATAAACAGTAGACAACAATTCACTGCTGCAACTTATCTCTTGCTAAGACCAATAATCTCATATACTTGCCGTATAATCTCTAAGTCAAAATCCATACCGTTAACTAACAATCACTATTCAAACATGGAGGTAGTTTACAGCAAATCTCTATCCTACAAAGAAACAGTGATCAAGCATCGCGCTGGAAACCTTGCTTTCAAAGACCTTTTCCTTGGTTCTGACAATGATATTCCGAATAACTACCACTTTTTCCTTGTACGGCAAGAGAACTTCTACTCACCAGTACACCATCATAATTTCGACCAGTTTCGTTTCTGTCTCGATGGGGACATCAATATTTTGCCTAATATGACTATACATGAGGGCGAATTGTGTTACCACCCTGAGGGTGCGTTTTATGGACCACAGGATGATGGCCCCGGCGCGCGGCAAGTTCTTGTGTTGCAGTTTGGGGGGGCGAGTGGACAGGGGTTTTTGAGCCCCAAACTGATGGACATTGCCAAAGAGAGTCTGAGCAAGAACGGACATTTTGAGAATGGGAAATTCTTTGAAGAAGGCAAGGGGGAAGGAATTGACTCATTCCAGGCACTCTGGGAATACACCGCCCAGAAAAAACTAGTATATCCGAAGGAGCGATACGATCGACCCATCAAGATAATCCCAGAGAACTATGAATGGAGGAAACTTCAAGGAATCAATGGAGTGTGGAAGAGATCTCTTGGCGTTTTTTCCGAGAAGGAAACTAGGGCTGAGATATTTAAAATCAGTAAAGGCTCTTGGGAAATTCCAAGTGAAGATGCAGAGCAGCTATTTTTTGTCCTTAAGGGAACAGGTTCAGTTAATGGGGAGAAGCTAGAGGAGCTGGCAGCGGGTAGATTGCTCCCTGGAAAGGGTGCTGAAGTCTCCTCCGGCGATATTACCTTGATGCGTTTTGTTTTACCCATATTAAGGGGATTTGAAGCCTGAGCGGCGACATTTATTCAGACATAAAGTAAATTTTACGTCTTAAAATCTTATTCATACTCATAAAAAGAAGGTCCACCAATAAGCTTAACAGAAATCGAAACTACTAGGTGTGTATTTATCCACCGTAAACGGTAGTTGTTTTGATAGGTGTATTGCTATAATTAGTTGAATTCAGAGCAATTCGTTTTGTACCAATTACAAGAGATTGGGTGTGACCTGCCAACAACACCACTGTCGTGGGCTGCTCGGAATGGGCACGAAGCAGTGGAAGTGGGTGGACTGCTTTGCAAATAGCGGCTTTTAATGAACATGAAGGGATACAGTAAGTTTTCATAATTCAACGAAGTCTAGGTTTATTGCATATCGAAAATGGCCGAAATAAATACAACAGATGTATTTTTGTCCGTGTTATCGACCTCAATACAAACAACGTTCAGAATCCATGCAATCATAAGCCATGTAACGGATGTACCCCCTATACATTACAAGGACACTAATACTACAATAGGGAAAGAAGTAAGGTCAGCCTCTTATTTGCTCACAGAAAACGCCCTGGATATATATCTTAAATCAAACTAGCAATGAATACAACTTTAGATGAATGGTCCAAAAGTATGATCTGCTGCAACGAAAATTGCTAGGTATACAGTAAAATATGTTAACATTAACCTATAGTGTGATTTAATGATACAATTGGCCGCCGTCGCTGCATTTGTTGAATCATTATCGTCACGGTTTCAGGACGATACCAACGCCCATTTCGGTATCCTGTTTTAAGCCTTTCTGGACAGCTGTGGAGAAATCGCTCAAAAACGACCACCTCGTTCTTTCATCCAGTCGCTGTGCCTTCCAGTCATTTAGCGTCCCTTTGGGGAAGAATTCAACACCAAATTCTGGTTGAAGTAAGCTCTCATCATGCGCCATGATCACCAAAACGCTCTCTGACGCATCCAGCTCTTCTACAAAACGAATTGTTTGATTAGCAAGGCCCGCATCATGAGGAAATCTCTCAGTTAGACGATAGACTGTTTCATTAGGCCGGTGATGGTGGAAGAGATCGCTGAATAGGGATCCAGGACAGTGAATCCGTGAACTAATTGGACTGGGATTGATCGTTTGCGGGAGAGGCAAGTACTCTGTTGGTCGAAACAACCCCGCATGGTGGCAGGCATCACCAATCATGAATATAAAACTATCTTCCTTCACTCGCGCAAGGCAACACAGATGGCCAATAGCATGGCCTGGAGCATCAACGAGAAAGAGGGACCCATCGTTGAAATAGTCCAGTACCCTGAACCCGCCTACAGTCAGGTTGCTATCGGAGAAATCAATCTCTAGCAATTCCCTCCCATGCCAATCACTCTCAAGCACAGGGCTTTCCCGGTTCATAGGATACGATGGTACAAAGGCGTCCTTGAATCCTGGCCCAACAACTAGTTTCGTGGATGTGGGAAACGTGCTAGGATCGCCTGTGTGATCGTAGTGCCAATGGCTCCAGACTATCGCCTCAATGCTAGAAAGACTTACACCTCCTTCGGTCAGAATCTCCGAGACGTTCTTGCTGGCCTTCACGTTCCAGCCATGTTCTTTAATTGTGTCGACAATTTTCGGTGCAAGGTTCTCCCAGTCTTTGCGCATACCCAAGTCGAAGAGAAGTCTTCTCCCCGATGCGTGCTCAATAAGAAACGAGTAAGAGGGACAGGAAATCTTATCATGACCAGGAATATGAGGGCCAAACAAGCCGCGTATGGGGCATTCAATCCAAGTTGTACTGTCAATAATTTTTACAACAACGGTGGATGTAGATGCCGGAATGTTGTGTGGTGGTGGTGCTAGTGGTTGAATGAGGTAGTCTACAGTAGACATGGTTAAAAGTTAGTATTTCGTTTTTTTTCATAAGAATATCAAACTGTGGCATAGGTCAAACTATACAAACAGATATGACATAACAGAGTATAAGTATCTCATATTGCCAATAATGCTACATCGGAACCAACATACTAAAACACGAGACAATCCCCACAGATCTACCCCGTAAGAGTCTTTGCCCCACAGCTGGCATTTTACTGAACAAATTCCGTTAATCTACGCCCTATTGTACCCGGGCCACAATAGTCAGGGTCAGGTAGGACTGTATTGGGTTTTCCGTCATGATTCCCTTGAAATGCCTAGGGTCTCAATTCATTTTCCCTACATGTAAATGTAAGAGTTT